CAGATTGTTGATGCTGGTCACCCAGACTCCGTGATGGTGATGACTGTGGTTCATATCTAGCAGCCTTCAGGTTAGTCTGACGAGGTCACGTGAGTTGCACCCTCCGCGGTGCTCCAAACCCAACACCTGACAGTGTAGTGTAGTTTTTCACTTCCCCCGACGATTTTTTGTTGGTACCAACAATTTTCATTGAACTCATTGCAAAATGACGTAATCTTTGCAAATTCGCAGTATTGATCTTGCAAACGAGACATACATTATTTTGTCGGCCGTTAGTGAGGTCTGATGCCGTACGGCCGGTGAGGGCCTACTCACACCTACATGTCAGGCTGCCTTCAAGTTACCATATTTAGAACATTGTACTGGCTCTCATGTGCCTGGTATCCCTAATTCTGGCGAACATAATGGTTGACTGCTGCCTCGGTACTTTGGTAGAAGTGGTTCACAAACTTGTTCCCATCCAATCACAAGATCTCAGGTTAGTATGTTCTTGTTCAGTGAACGTCCTCTTCCCATGGATACAGCTCTTAATAACACATCCTGCTTTGGCAAAACGAAAGTGGTGCACTGATCTATAACGTTCTGCATTAAATTGGCTTTCAAGAAACGAGGGCTGTGAAAAAAGGCACCTGACGATTGGCAAATTCTTTAATTGTTTTATGGCATGTGGCCTGCCAGTTAGAAACAACATGTCATATAGTTCAAGGAAACCACCTTCTGGTTTATTTTCAGTAATACAGTAGTAGTTGTTCTATATGTGCAGTGTAACAGACTCAGTTGGAACCAGTTTGAGCAGCCAATCGATGCTGTGACTTGAAATCCATTTGTCGCTCATAATTTTCTCTGTATTCTAAACTAGTAGGTGACCAGGTCAATGACCTGTATGGTGTTCAACATAAAACAGCCTTCACAAAATGGTAAAGATGGTATAAAATTATCAATGGTTTATTATTAACAACTACTGCTCAAAGTGTAGTAATATCAAACTTTCGAGATAACTACTTTCCAGCAAAATTATGATCAGAAGAAAAATATGATTTTATCTGTGGTGGATGGGAAGCATTCTGGTCTTTGACATCATGAATTCAGAAACTCCTAAAAGGTACTATTTCAGATGGCTCTAATTTCTAGCTAGCTTGCTCACCATAGAAAATAGAACTGGAGATAGGAGACACAGTGCTCCATATGTGACCAAGTTTATCAGCACCTGTGCTAATTTTTCAAACCAAGGCTCAACTCAGAAGGTAAGCTCATTGAGTTTATCTCATATCCTTGAAATTGAATGTTTTTGACATTTCCTAGTGATTGGTAAGATTGGTCCACATTCGCCGATGATCAGATATCAGATTTTAATGTGATCTCAAGAATAAGACAATTGAAGTTAACCAATATCTTGAAAAACATGCATAAAACACATAACAAAATCTAACTTGGTCAAGATCCCAAACTGGTTAATGTAATATCAAAGTTTGACAGAAATACGGTAATCCAAAAAAGCTTAGAAAGAACTCCTGTGTGCTGAGAATATTTGAGACACATTAAAATTAATTAGAATTTGTCTCTCAAACGAAAAGCTTGGCAACTAATTTTTGTCTGCTATTTGAGATGCATAACATGAAAAAAATGTGATTCACATTATCAAAATTTATAATACATACAGAAAATACATTTGATTTTTCATTTTTAGATATCAGGAACGAGCTAATAATACATAATCAATATGCAAGTTTATCAACATGTCTGTGGATTACCACAATGAACCAAATGAATTATTATACAAATTAAGAAATTATTATGCATAGGTCTGTATATTGTTTCAGAGTGCAAATTTTCATTATAATGTGATGATTAATACTAACTAAATTAGTTGAAAGCTGAAAAGTAAATTATTATGCAAATTAGGTAATTATTATAGATGTATATAAACCTAAAACTAATTTGATCATCACATTGTGTTAGAGTACATATGTACCTAGATATACCAAGTACTGTCACAGACCATCTATGTACAAAGTTTCAAATTTGTTTAAAACCAAAAATTATGATTTATTACGCAAATTAGGTAATTAATATGATCTGATTTTAATTCAAAACTGAGTGGGCCTGTGAATTGTTTTTTGATCAATGTACCAAGTTTCATTGAAATGGAATAATTAGTACATGTGATATCAGCGTAAAAGCAGAAAATTGGCTAATTGTGCAAATTAGTTAATTAATATGCACTGATTTTAACCCAAAACAAATCAGATCTGTGCATTATCCTAGATCATCTATGTACCAAGATTCATTGAAATGGAATAATTAGTACTTGCAATACCAGAGTAAAAGCCAAAAACTAACTAATTATGCAAATTAGTTGATTAATATGCACACATTTTACTTAAACTTGATCAGGTCTTTGGTTTGTTCTCGAGCATCTATGTACCAAGTTTCATTGAAAAATAATCATGTAATAGTACTTGAAATATCAAAAGCTGAAAATTGATTAATTATGCAAATTAGGTAATTATTATTTGTCTCTACATCATCATATGTATCTATGCAAATTTCATTGAAATGTGATGATTAGGTAATTATATGCATGTATTTTTACCCAAAACTAGTCACATCTGTGCATTAGTCCAGAGCATCTATGTACCAAGTTTCATCAGAATCTAATGAATGGCTCTTTAGATATCATTGGAACAGTCAAGTAACAGCTAAACATTAGCTAAGTATCATGCAAATCAGGTAATTAATATGCATGGATTTCAATCAAAACTCAATGAAATCTGCGCATTGGCCCAGATCATCTATACACAAAGTTTCATTAAAAACCAACATACGGTTCTTGAGATATCAGTGGAACGGACAGACACACACGCACAGACAGACACAGACACACACATACATACATACAGACAAACAGACAGACAGACAGATAGGGTAACTGCAAAGACTCCCATTGTGTGCTTCGCACACAGGAGTCAAAAACTGTTGTAGTTATTGTACGGCCAGCTTTTTTAGACAGTATTGCATAGATCCACTGATAGAAATCAAAGAAAGCTTAGAAAGAACTCCCATGTGCTGAGAGTATTGGAGACACATTAAATATAATTTTAAATTACTTAGCTGAAAACTAATTATGCAAATCAGAAAATTATTATGAACAGATTTGAGTGTAAAACTAATGAGGTCTGCGCAATGTAACAAATAATCTATGTACCAAGTTTAATTGAAATGTGATTAGAACCAAAAAAATATGAATTATTATGCTAATTAGGGAATTAATATGAACTGATTTTTACCCCAAACTAATTAGGTTTGTACATTGTTCTAGAGCATCTTTGTACCATTGAAATGGAATAATTAGTACTTTAGATATCAGTGTGAAAGCTTAAAATTGGTTAATTATGCAAATTAGGTAATTAATATGTACAGATTTTAACCCACAATTATCCAGGTCTGTCTATTGTCCTACAGCTTCCATGTACAAACATTCATTGATATGTGATAATTAGTATCCGAGATATCAGTGTGAAAGTTGGAAATTGGTTAATTATGCAAATTAGGTGATTAATATGCACAAATATTTACCGAAAACAAATTGGGTCTTTGCATAATTCTAGATTCATTGAAATGTGATGATTAGTACTTTAGATATCAGTAGTAAAGATGAAAATTAATTATGCAAATTAGGTAATTAATATGCACAATTATTTACCCTGAAATTAATCAGGTCTCTGCATAGTCCTAAAGGGTCTATGTACCAAGTTTCATTGAAATGCGATGATTAATACTTGAGATACCCGTGGAAAAGCTGAAAATTAACTAATTATGCAAATTAGGTGATTAATATGCACAAATATTTATCCGAAACAATCAATCTCTGCATAGTCCTTGAGTATGTAAGTACCAAGTTTCATTGAAATGTAATGCTCACTACTTATATCAAAAGCTGAAAATTAATTAATTATGCAAATTAGGTAATTATATGTACAGATATTACCATAAAAACTATCAGGTCTGTGCAGTGTCATATGACATCTATGTACCATTGAAATGTGATGATTAGTACTTGAGATATCAGTGGAAAAACCGAAAATTGACTAATCATTATGCAAATTAGGTAATTAGTATCCACGGATTATTACCAAAAACTAATCAAAACCTAGCATTAGTTCAGAGCATCTATGTACCAAGTTTCATCAAAATCCAATGAGTGGTTGTTTAGATATCAGTGGAACAGTCATGGAACAGCTAAAAGTTAGCTAATTATCATGCAAATTAGGTAATTAACAAGCATGGATTTTTACCAAAACCTAATCAAATCTGCGCATTGGCCCAGAGCATCTATGCACCAAGTTTCATCAAAAACCGATGTATGGTTCTTGAGATAGCAGTGGAACAGTCTGACACATACACACACATACACACACATACACACACACACACACACACACACACACACACTAACTGCAAAGACTCCCATTTTGTGCTTCGCACATGGGAGTCAAAAACCTTGGAGGAATGACTGGATGGGAATTCCCATCATGCACTGATATTGACGATTCAAGGACCACCTACATTTGCCATCATTGTGTTCTCCATAAGAAACTATTCAAATGTTGACAGTACAGTGTGGTACTATTTATATGCATAGTATGTAAAAGTGCCAAGACAGTGCAAGAATAATGGACACAGTGATGCATGCAAACAAAAAATAAATAAATCGTCTTGCCAAGAATTAAAAAAAAAAAATCTTGTGTATCAATAACTCATCGTGCATGTCAAATATCCAGCATTCACGTTTGGAGGATTTGGTGGCCCTTAAAAGTACCGATAAAAGTTCAACTCGTAAAACAGTTTTTCAAACGAATAATACAACAGAATAACAAGGACAGAATAATAGTCTATTTTTCTAGCCCTTCAGTATCTGCTTTTGTTTTGATCATTTTTGTAGTCGGGTCTGTTTTGTATTTTTTTGGAATAAAGACAAGAAATACATTTTTTCAAATAAATAATTATTTTTATTTCTTCCTTTGTCATTCCCATTTTATTTGAGAATCACAAATCAGACAATTTTTTTTTGATTTTCTCTCCTCCTCACCTGTCAAAATCTGAGCACCAAGGGCTTCAAAAACGCTGGTCTAACCTTAAGAAAAAGCTTTACGATAAATCAACAATAACAACTCGTATGTGTTGATAGTACTTGTGTAAATTTTAAAAAAATGTCTGCAAACAATATTGAACAATGGTTACAATAAGTTTCAGTGTTTGTGGGTGGCAACAAGAATTATGTATGGTAGTCACAGTACAAATGATAAAAATAAGTTTAATAATCCAGTATAGAATGAATGCAATTCTGTGTTTATGCATGCTTCCATGAACCCTTGACCAGATAAGGGTTAAATATTCGCTTCAAATAGAACAATAACTGTTTGTTCTGTTGAATATACAAAAGGTAAAAAACGTGCGAGACAAGAACTGTGACTATAGGCTCCTATGAATGTAGCACTGCACATCAATAATGACAGTGTTTCCTTTGTCACAGTATGAAAAAGTTCATCAAAGAAGAGCTTCTTTGTAATCTTCTGGAAATTTTTCTTTGATATGTTTGGAAAATCTGTTCAGTATTTCTGAGTTAGTGAGATTCTTGCTTTTAAAAACCAGTTGACTACCATCACCTGTGAGTAGAAAGAAAACACACAATATATTCCTTGCACTACTAGCAATATGTAGTATAATCAGATATAATATCACATGCATACAGTAGTGACGTTTAGCATGAAGTATATCAAACTGATATTTAACATTAAAATGTGGTGATATTCATGATAAAGGTCATTGGTCTGTGTGTGGTTGCACAGTATGAGAATATAAAACAAATGAAAACCACAAGCAACATCAATGAGGTACAAGTGAGTTATTGTAGGACCTGATTAGGTCTGTGTAGATGGTATGCATTTGATGTCTAGTGACAGGTAGTTATCTGCTGTGCAGTGCCATCCGTAAGCCATCATTGCATGCAGTTATTGTAAAAGTTGTTAAATTTAAGCAAACACTATACATTTTAGGAATTTCTGCTGAAATTCCAAAATGGTGAAACCAATATGTGAAACCATTTTTCCCAGCCTTGGCATACTAAGATACATGCAACATTTCGATTTGATCAGTTGAAGCATTAATAAGGAAAAAATGCCTCAACATGTTGGCATTTTTGCCAGAAATCCAAGATGGCAACCAAACCATATGACTGATCAAAATTATATTATTTCCCTCGTAAGAAGCTATGGCCATATACATGTTATATACAAATATCAAGTTGATTGGTTGAAGCATTCATGAGAAACAAGTGGCCACAATTTTGGTCACTTTTGTCAAAAATGACCAGACCATGTGATCTGAATTCTTTTCAGCTGTTCGAAAGAGTTCAATATAGAGATGCAACGTACCAAATGTGAATATAGTCACATAACTGTGGCATAAATATAAAACTTTCTATTAAGAAGAATCCAAAATGGCGGTCAAACCATGTGACCAGCCATAACAAATATTCAAAATTAGATGTGCTTCACATAGATGCTGAAAACCATTTTTGGAATCAATGTATTTGGTGGTCCTAAAGAAGAAGATTTTCAAGAGTTTTTTCCCCGATTTTCCACATGCCGGAAGAAGTCATATGACCGCTAAAATCTTTATTGCTGATATCTGTTACACATGCCATGCCATAAAAAAATATGATCGCCTAGACCCTCAGAAAGTTGTCAAATAGCCACTTCCTGTTTAATTTCAATCCAGTATGGCTGCCAAACTAATTGACCAATCAAAATTCTGAAAGTCATGTGCAAAGAAAGGCGGAAGATGTAGAAAATCACAATGATAAAAGCTTGGATCCCTAATCATGTGATGGTACCATATTTATCACGACACTATGACAATTTCTGAATGGATAACTACAATATCTTGCATGGTGCAATGACAATAACTTGTAATATATACTGTATACACAATGTTTTTAAAAATGCAGTCCCTCAACCCCTTGGCTGTAATCGCAGATTTTTTATCGCTGAAGTGATTTACAACCCAAATTGTGGTTACCCGGATATCTCTAACAAATAATCTAACTAACCGCTAGACCCAATTAATGATATTATCAAAAATTCATAGAAAATTGGGCGAAAAACTGTTGCTTTTGGTCTCAACGTTTTCTTCGCTCTGAAACGTAAGGGTGATAAGTTTTTATTTTCAAGGATGCAGGTAGTTCACATCAGACAATTTTTTTTTGGAGTTTGTTGTGTGCCTAGAAACATTGTTTTTTTGGTGAATGTAGAACAAGTTCTGTTCCAATAAAGGACTTTTATAAGCCAATCCTTATTGGAACAACTCTCTTAAAATTTGTAAAAACTAAGATATGGGCTTGATTGTTCAATGTACAGTTCGGTAAATCTTTTTACTTACTAAAAGTGACATCAATAATTGGATCAGAACGATCATTTTTAATTGTTGTTGTCATCTTGCATTTGGGGTTTGTAGCTCTCATATTCTCATTTCCCATGTAACTTAGAAATTGCCTGAAATGCAAAAAAAAACAGTAAGCCCATCACTTATTGATGAAAATGGTATCATCGAGGTAGGGCTACATATGACATATGACTCGCAGGTATTCAAGAAACTCACAAAACATCAATGTATAACAAACATTGTACTAAAAATTAGTTTTTCTTTGTAATTTTTTTTATACAACAGTAGTTCAATTATAGTGTAATTTTATGAATGAACTTTCCTAACTATTGGCAATGAAACAACCAACAGTGCAGTGTCATTGTAAACTGTAATTTCTTGAAATAATTTTACCAGTGCCCTGGTATTTTCTTTACAATGTAAGAATGTGTTTCAGTGCCAACACCCTGGTTGTGACATAGTATACAAAGTATCAATGGGCAATGCATAGGCTGCTGTTCTATAACTAGTTCTAGGTATGGTTCAAAATTAAATGTTGATTTAATTTGGTTATACAATCTCCACTTGTTATTTTCTGATTTAAATAGAACCATGAATCAAGCTGTAGCTTTGTTCCAATTTTCTTTGAAATTCATTTGTATCAAGTTCAATATTTTCTAGATTTGCTAATTTTAGAAGCCGATTTATGAATAATTGAATTCATTGTCATTGATTTTGTTGTCTGATGAGAAAGTATAATTGCTCTGAACAGCATTTATTGGCCATTTTTAATGGGATCATCAAACCAATACATCTGTATATAAAATATAAAACTGGAGTATCAGATATGGCACTAGAACCACATTCATTAAAACAAAATGGCCACCAGTCGGCCATTTTAAATCCGATTTGCAAAACAGAAATAGAAATGTATACAAAATCATCAATACACTTTGAAAACAAAATTAAACAATTAATATTTAATACAACAAAGACAGGGTTGTGTGATCAGCTCAATGCTATTTAATCTATATCTAAATGACTTGCACAATACATTAGAAAGTAGTAATTTTGATCTTATATTGTTAAATAATACTAAAATTAGTTCATTATTATATGCAGATGATTTGCTACTGGCTTCTGAAACACCATCTTGATTTCAATAAACTAATTACAGGAATACTGCCATAAATGGAAGCTTGAGGTAAATCTAAGGGGTACCGGGGTATATGTAAACAAGACATCAATGTTATTACAGGGGTTGAAATACCCTGGTGCACACTGCACTATGCACATAGATTATTAGCTAGTGCAAGTAAACTCAAAATATAATGTGCACGCTGTGCATGTAGAAACAACATTTTCTCATTATATTCACTAAGCCTAAATTAAGTTCAACCAACATTGTGAAACAACTAAAAAAAAAAAAAAAACAATTTTTTCGTGATCGCATCAATCGTGAACCCATAAATTTTATTTAAGCTTTAAAAGTAGTGCATTTCACAACAAGTTTGTGCAGGTAAATTTCAAATTCAACATGCACACTATGCATGCAGGGAAAAAATTCTATTTCAATCCCTGTATTACCAAACTCGACATTTAATTGTGTCAATATATACTATTATCTTGGTGTAGTTTTACAAGTAAACGATACTGGTAAATTCAATGAGGATAGAACTTTTCTAGCAAATAAACCTGCCAGGAGTATGTTTGACCAAAGACACTAGTGTCTTTGGTTTGACCTACAAACAGCGTTACCCAAAGAAACAGACGGCAAGATATATCTACATCTATTCAATATGGGGTGTTGATAATATGGACAACATGAAATGGGATAAAACACCAGTTGACTAATTACATATTAAATGTTTTCATGTAAAAAATTATCAGAGGTTGTGATAACTTGGTATCTATATTTAGTATGCTTGATGTTCTTTTGTTAGTGGTCACATGACCTGGTTTAAGTTTGTAATGGCGACAATGCTTGCCAAGCTGTAGTTATGCAGTTCCACAAATAAACCTTGGAACTGCAAACCTGAGTTTAACATGTACAAAATGTATATTAGCGTTTTCCTGTGTAGATCATTACAGTAGTGGTTAGGCGAAGACTTGGTTACCACAGAGGTAAAGAAAATTTCACTCGATCAGAACTTGACAAATACCCATTACTGGCACATATTAAAGAAATTCTTGTGAAAATATTGGTTTCGGCTATAAAAAAACTTCCAGAACACAAAAACGGGCATTTTATGAACAAAATGATTTCAATTTATCATGAGTGAAAAAATGATTAGAGAAAATGTTCCACATTTTTCAATGAATTCTTTTGATACAGATTTAAAATTTATCACTCACATTATTCCAGCAAGTTCTAGAAGTATTGGGGCAGCCAATTTTAAAAACTTGCCAGCAAATTGGCTAACTGCTTGGAATTTGACTGAACAGTTAGTTTTTGAAGCTTGCTGACCTCGACTTGTGGACGCGTCCACTCCAGGTGAGTCCATATTGCAGTAGGGGACGTATAATGCTTTTACGTAGCCTGGCACATGTCTGGGATTCCCCATTTCAAAGGTGATTTGCTGTATTATGCGAGACGTGATAATGTAAAAGTAGTTACAGCCGTTCTGAGAATTATTCGGACAATCAGTTAGCAATATATCTTGGAACTTTGCAAAACACTTAAGTCTTTTCCAATCTAGACTTGATGGCGCCGTTGTATTGGCATGCCCACGATTGGAATCATTTCATTATCTTGCAAGATGCGGGTAAAACGCTGTTTTCAAAACGACACACGTTGGTTACCATATATTAACAGGTTATATGTTGTATATGCATTCAAAGTGTATTTTAAATGGTTATAACCATCTGAGTCCACCTGACATAGCGCAATTTACAAAACGACTCCTGAGTGTTGGCGGAAAGGTTCAAAGTAAAGTTTCCTAGCGGGACGCGCTGAAGTTTCGCGACAGTTTTGGGCCAAACGAAAAGTTGTTTTTACATTACTGGTGCATTATGTATCAAATTTAGATTTTATACCAAGGTGGGAGAGTATGTCAGGGTTACTCTGTCAATTCAAAAGTGCCTTCCCTTGAGCGAATCCCCTTTTCAACTGAAGTTTGAAAATGACGGGGTATAACGACCGTTATTATGTCTAGTCCATTTTTGTAACAGATACAACTGACTAAACTGAGCGAGGGGTTGACATTTTTCGAAAAATTTAAGCAACACCCAAATTACAATATAATTATAAAAAATAAAGAATGGTTGCTGTAAACGCACGCTAGATAATACTTGCAATTCACCAAGCCGACAACCCCAAACCATGCGTCGTCACTCAAGTGGCGCCGACAAGTCTAGATTGGGCAAAGACCAAAGTGTTTTGCAAAGTTGCAAGTCATTTTGCTAACTGACTGTCCGAATAATTCTCAGAACGACTGTAACATTTACCAAATTGGTAGCCAAGTACGAATAATTTACAAAAAAGTCTGCTTTCTCCATTTTTTTTATAATCCATTGGGGTAACATGGTAACATTAAGCCAACCACTAATAAAATTTGACTACACGAAGAACATAGAACACTTTCATGACCGTTCCTTTGCAGTTTTCATAATGAAGCTTAATGGAGACTGTTTCGCGCAGCAAAGAAACATTTGATCATATACATTCCAGCAAGTCATTATAATGTAGTTTTTGCTTTGACCTTGTTCAACTCCCACCCCACCCCGAAATTTGAGTTTGGCACTTCGTAATTTACCTGTTAGTAAATAACCTACTGAATTGCAGTACACTCACATTCCAAAAGATGAGTCCATTTGTTCAAGGGTTGACCATTTACATAAACCGTTGGCTTTCGAATCTCGCTGGTGCCGGTTTGTGATCGCGTCCACTCTTGGCGAGTCTATATTGTATTCGGGGACATAGAATGTTTTTACGCATCCTCAGGCTGGTACATGTCTGGATTCCCCTGAATGATTTGAGTCCGAAAATGGCCACAGTCAGCTGGCGTGATAATATTATAAATGCAATTAATCTATCGATATTTATTACATGAGGTTAACCTTCTTGAACACTGCTTGACACTAAATAGACAAGTTGAGAAACAGTTTCCTATAAATCAAGGATAAAATAACAATCTTTCACACTCGAACGATCCGTTGGGGTAACATTAAGCCAACCGCTGAAAAAATCGACCTCATTCGTCGTTTTTGTGTGGTCACGAAGAGCATAGAAGACCTTCCCTGGTATATTTCAAAGCGAAATCGCCATCCAACTGTAAAGACCATCGCTGATTAGCTCATAAAGTATGAGGATCGTCCCCTACTGTTGCATAGATTCGTCTTAAGTGGGCGTGACCACAAGACGGCGCCAGCGAGATTCGAAAGCCAACCGTTTAGTCAAAACCCAAGCAGTTAGCCAATTCGCTAGCGAGTTTGCAAATTGGCTGCCCCAATACTTCTGGGACTTGCTGTAAAATAACATATATTGGAATCTGGAGGTCAAACTTCTACAATGAAAATAGCAAACACTGAAACAGATACAAGTGTTGAATTTCCAAAAAGTAAAAAAAATAAAAAAAAGCAGAAATCTATTTACCAAATGAGTACAACTGAACACAACATGGGTAGACAAATTGGAGAATATTTATACAAATGTATAACAATGTTTCTATTAAAATAGAGTGAGCTAATGAGCTTCTGACTATTTTCTTTTTAAACTTTTTTATATCTTAACACTTTTTACTGTTCAGATGAAATAAAACATCTTGGTATCTTGTGTAAGAAATTATAGTTCCTGGGCTCCCTGTGGTTGTAGGTTAGGAGGGGGGGGGGTCTTACCGATGTTTTATCAATCACACGACAATAATCACAAACCTTGTTCCTCTAACCCTTTCTTCGAATGGACAGAACTGTACGTTTATTGCTGAGACGACTTTTAATGTCACTCCCCGAATTACAGCAACTCGTGGCATGATGTTTCAATATTGGTGAAGAGGAGCAAGACCGATCAGCTGGAGGGAGCGTGTCTTTACGCTGTTCTGGTATATGTCATTTCTCCCGTTACAAATGTAAATTCCAGTTATGTATTGTCGTCGCTATTTTGATTGCATGTATAAAACTTAACGTGCGAGTGTATTTTTAATATACTATAACAATGCGAAATACAGTGTTTTTTTTAAAATGGACTTCAAGTACAGTTAGTTTCTTCTAATCCCTCTTTGAATATAAGTTATCCATCATATTAAACAGCCCATCACTGAATAGAGTGTACCGTGCTTGGTGATTGGCTGGTACTTTGAAGCACTTTCTTTCACTTTCACGTATTTTTTTAACAGCACAGCGCAATGGAGTTATTATGGGTAAAATAAATAAATGGTAAATGTGTACAGATGATACAACTTGTATATCTGTTTCTAACAGTTTTGAAATAAACAATGCATATTTCAGAATGTATCGCAGCTTTCCCCAGATAAGTGGAACAAAACTGACCAATCAGATTGATTGTATTTTATAAGTCCAAAGACAGTACAATGTGCTGAAATTATTTGTAGACCCTGTTTCGTTAAATATAGTAACGTCAAATACATTAAATTAAGTCAGTTATTTGGGGAAATATTCATTAAAAAACAGAGCAAAGCCAAGAGTACCGATTTAGTTAATAATTATTACAAACTATACATTTTAATAGGTCATAAACAAAAAAGCAATGTATTCGAAACTGTGATCAAAATGCTTCACTACATTTTTCTTCATCGTCCACTGGCCAACAAGCTAGAATTTTCCATTTCACAACGTTGTATGCTATTGTTCTTTTTCTCACCGAAAAAGGGCCAAGACGGAGTATTTTGCTTACAAACTCTTTGAATTTTTCAACGGCAGTGTAAGTATTCTTGACTTCTGGATTATACATTTCATGACTTGATTACTTCAGCACTAATAGACAGTTTTTTTTGGAAAATCAATTCATGGTTTCTTTCACGCGCTAAACGACAAGGTCGTTATTTGTATCGTATCTCCATTTTCGTTAAATAAAAAAATGACTGCCGCGTAGTATTTTTTTTTAATCTGATTGTAGTTATTTTAAGAACCTTGATCCTACCATACGGTATGGAAAAGTACCAACATGATCACGTCACTTTGTTGTTCGACCTGTGTGACATTTTTATTGTTAATCAGCAGCGATTTCCTGCGATGATGATTGTTTTCTGCCGTATGGTGCGAATATTACTGACGTATGACGCACGTACCTAAGTTCCACTTATCCACATTTTGTCCTTTTCTTGGCTGAAGGCAGCAGTTTTTACCAAATCGATCGAGTTGTAATGTTGGCATACTTGTTCTAATTGCTGTTGTATGTAAAATTAGGTTTCTTTTTCACTACAGTCTTTTATTTTGCAAGCAGATACATCAGTTGTATTCGCAAAAATATTTGGTTTATTGACCTTTTAGTTTTATAACTAGTTTTCCATTTCCCATCCCCAATTAGGTATAGTGCCACACCATTCGGGATCATTTTTAACTAATCCAAAATCACTGTAGGTAATTTTGTTTATATCACATGTGAATTCTACCTTCAGGGCAGACTTAGGATTCTGGCATCCTATGTTGACTATGTCCCGGTCTGTTTGGTTACTTTACTTTGACTGGTATATACAAAATGTGACCAGGAAAACATCAAATTAGTGAGAGCCAAGTCAAGTCAGTGTGTCAGTTGGGAGCCACAGCAATCTGTTGGCAGTCTGCTTCCACACACATAATTTTGAGAACCACAAGTGTATGCAATCATATCAAAATAATACATCTATCGATAATTCCAGTGTTGAAGCAGAATTTTCTTGCTTCTAATTTCACTATGAAATTTGAATCCACTTCAATTTCATAGTCTCTATGATGCAATTATATATCCAAATTAATTTTTTGACAGTTTTGATAATGTCTAATGTTTCACTTGCATATTTTTGTGATAGCAATGAAACTGGCCTTAAATCAACATGCATTGCCCTCAGGCTTCAAGACAAAAATTTCTATAAATTCCTTACACTGGTTTATCTAAATTGAAGGACATTAAAGGCATTCAGGTGGGGGCATTGAGATGGGTCATGTCAGTGTCTTTAGATTCCTGTTGTCATGCTATACTATAGAATTCGTGTTCTTAGAACCTTTGGTATATTCAGTCATTATATTTGTTTTATTTTTCCAGATGCCGCGTTCATATCACAGATACAAGTCGAGGAGTCGATCACTGCGTTCTAGCCATCACAGACACAAGAGGCGACGAAGGTCTTCCAGTTCTGGTCGCCGTTATGAAGATAAATATTATGAATCACCAGGGTAGGCGACAAAATATTTTTTTAATAATTGCCAAAATAATGACTTAAAATTATGCTTTGTTTACATTAACTATTGTAATTTGTATGATTGGGTTTATTGCCTGACTCAACTTTCCCCAACTTGTTCAAGTTGCATGTGCTGGTAACAAGCAAATGAATTACTTTGTAATTTTCTTGTACATGGATTCATCCTATTCAGAAGTGACTATAGAAGAGAGAGGTCCCTTTCCCCAGAAAGACAAATTTTTAGAGACAATCATTACAATGATAGAAGTGAGAGTGGATACTATGAGAATTATAGCAGACATTATTATCATGAAGAAAAGGACAAATACAAGTCAAAAGATGAAAATTATCAGAGTAGTTATCGGAAACATAAACACAAACGACGTAAGCACCACTCACATAGCTGTAGTTCAACGGTAAGTGTATTTTGTGTATTTTATTATTTTGTAATAATGCTTTGTAGTGTCAATTTGATGCAGAAACCTACTGGTGGAATTTAGCTGGGTAAGTAGTGTGGCTAGTTGTCCCTATATTGTTGGATTGAGTTTATAAACAGAATCATTAGAATAAAAAAAGTCTCTTCCCGGTCATGGACTACCCTTCATTGTACAGTGGTTATTCTATGAGGGTATTTGAACCAAATTTATTTTTGTGGAAGAATATAAATGAGTGGGTTGGTGGTGTGAACTATTACTGCATTTGAGTAAGTAACATTTACATGTGTATGTCCTCCTTCCACTAGTACTTTAGCATCCCACAAACATGAAAAATTTTAAAAAAAATCAAAACATATCATTATTCTCTTATTTGGGGTAATGTATTTTTGGTTTCTTTTCATTAACATATTATTAGAATGTTATATTGAAATGAGTTCTGTTTTTGATGTGCAACTTGCATTCCCCTATCTTGTTACTCTTATATGTGTGCGATCCTGATGACCTGAAATATGCCGTGGCAATGAAATGATGTGCACGTTGATATGCGAATCTGAATATGCTGCACACACGTCAATTCGATTTATGATACCGGTCTGTCAAATTCATCAATCAATTCAACAATCAACTTTCCACTACCTACCACCACCATGACTACCACCACCCACATCAATGAAACTAATGGTGCTATTATTGATGTTGTTGTCTGTACTGACTGGCTGGTTTGTGAATGTGGCTTGATGAAAACAGAGGAGTAACAAAGATCAACAACGTTCTCCAAGTGTGGAAGATGACGAAGACGGACATCTCATCTATCACCAAGGCGATTGGCTGCAAGCTAGATGTACACAATTTTTGTAACTTTTGTGTTAAGTTCACTGAAATTAGTAGGAGTGAATGTTTTCAAATGCAAACATTTCTACGTTTTAGTATAATTGCTCCCGTTGCACAAGGATATTGATTTGATTTTTTCTTTCAAGTTCTTCCATTTTGGTTTTTGGGGAGTTTCGTGTCAAATCATAGTAGATCACATCACATCAAATACGAGAGTCGCTTGATTGATTTGAGTGTTTAACACATTGATCGCCTCACATATTTTACTTCATACATTACGGGAAGCATTCGACTCTTATGGGATTCAATGTGTTAATATTGAATTGAACCAAGTTCCTGTTTATTTCTATGAAAGTTGGGTCTGTCATTCTTGAAGATAGTCTGAGTAATATTTGGCAGTTTCAGAATGTTTGTCAATGACTCAATTTAATATACATGTATAAATAACACATTTGTTGATAGGATCTGTGATCAAATGTGTTTTTGAATAATTCAAACAGGAAATTGGTTGGTGAATGGAATAAATTCATCTGAGAGCTCATAACACCTGATATAAATTTCTATTTTGCCATGAACTTTAGATATCAAGTTATACACAAGTTCAACAAAATTAGGGTTGTATTGTTTAGACTAAGGAAAACCCATTATTAAAGCATCAAATTAAAACCAAATCGTATAGTTTTGTTCTTGTATGAGCTCTGATATTGAATTAACTTTACCGTAAGAATGTGTTGATATTGTATGTTGGATAAGTTTTTCTCTTTGTCTTGCAGCTTTAAAAGTGGTATGCATGTTAGTGAAACATGTTGCTGCTCTCCCACTTATACTTTTATACCTTTAATTTCAGATGAAGTAGTAGGCACTCTTGGTGAAGGCACCTTTGGAAAAGTAGTCAAGTGTAAAGACCATCAAACGTAAGATGAACTTGAATCAATCATATGTGTTTTTTGACAAAAGAAATGTTGTCGAGAGAAAACTTTCAATGTGCAGGTTTGGGCTTTTATTAACATGGCTGTAACCAAATTAGCTAAGGCAATTCATGTTTATTAATAGCACAATTGGGTGTGAAACATCAGCACTCAGAGAATATGTGGTTTTCCCTTTATAGAGGTCAAAGTGTTGCATTGAAGATAATAAAAAACAAAGAAAAATATAGAGAAGCTGCCAAATTAGAAATAAATGTTCTTCGAAAGATTAATGAAAGGGATCCAAGTGGAGAACAGTAAGTATGATGATCATTGAAATGATTTTGTGGTTACTTTTTTTATATGTAAATGCGTTAAATGCAGCTTATAGTGCCTGCACATGTTTACGGTTTGTGCATGTGCACTGTGACTGGTTGGCAAGAAGCGGTTGTTTGCACCCAAGATAAAATAATGTAGATGTTCGCTGCTCCTGTTTTAAATAAACCTTGTCACAGCTGATCGTGAGCTAATTTTGTTTAAGTTATCAGATATTTGCATGCTTGTTGGCAAACATGTAAAACAAATGATAGAACACTGTGATGGCTTATAGTTTGAGTCAACTATGAAATAATACTGTGGTTTGTCTAATCCTGTCCTGTCCTTAATACAGCTCATATAAGTGCATCTTTTTTTTAACTTGCAGTTTGTGTGTAAAGATGTTTGATTGGTTTGACTACCATGGACATATGTGCGTTTCTTTTGAAATATTGGGCCTTAGTGTCTTCGACTTTCTTGTAAGTAATACTAAACAGAACCCTTGATGTGTGGGGTATGAAAGTTGTTTTCACAAATGATGCAGTGTATCCTGCATCCATATTTTCATAAGTGAAGTGATTGGTTAACCTAATATTCTATTTCAATAATATACAAATATTTACAGATGCGCACACGCTCGATGTTTGCGATAAAAAATGCTGAACAATAACGTCACAAATAGATAACTTAGATTCACTTTTCTAAAATCAATTTTTTTTTTTTGATAAAATATTCTTAATAAATGCATTTTAAACGTGCATATGAAGGAATACTAACCATACTGGGTTGTTGTTTTTTTGCTCATTTGCATATCAACAGCAGAAATTTCTACCATAGTATATATTTTCAAGTGTGCAATGTTATAATATGCATACTTATATAGTTCGTTATCAGCAAGAGTTAAAGTATCTCACTTGATTCTAGTTGTATTTAGTAAATATTTCTATTTTATTCACAGAAAGAGAACAATTACATCCCATATAGTCTAGATGAAGTCAGGCATATGGCATATCAAATGTGTGATTCTGTACTTTGTAAGTATTCAATTATTATTCCAGTGTACAATTTATGTAAATTTGTAATGCAGTTCATTTTGCTCCACAATATTCAACCATTATTTATGGCAATTTTCTCTAATTTTTTCCAGTTCTACATGACCAGAAGTTGACACACACAGATTTAAAACCAGAAAATGTTTTATTTGTAAATTCTGATTATAGTATCAAATACAACCCAGAAAAAGTAAGTACAACTTTTGTAGCATTCATAGTGAGATGTTTATTTCATATGGTTCTCTACTTAAGAAAATGAAAAACTATCAGATTCTTGATTGCAGGATGTGAAACTTAGTTCATTTTGTTATAGTATCAAGTGTTATAAATGTTTAACCTTAGTCAGTTGTTAAAACACAATGTGGATCCCATGCAAGTATACAA